AACGTAAAGATATTATAAAATTACAAATTTGAAAAATCGACTCCATTACAATAATTTCACAATAGGAAGTTAAAAATATTACATTTTCAATTGAGAGACTTTTGTGATATTGCTAATATTTATAGCATTTATAATTTCATATATGCCAAAATAGTTATTGATCGATTGGAATTTTCATTTAAAATTAAAACTAATAACATGATGGATCGTGGTAAGAAAATATAATTTATTTTAATAAAAAAACATAATTATTTTATTTCATTACACTGTACCTCATTTATTACTTTTTTACACTATAATAAAATTCCATTCATCTGAAACGTTTCTGTAATTATCACAACAGACATAAGGAATGTGTTTTTTGTACTGATTGGCAACAGAAGATGCAGAATAATTAAGATGTTCTTGTTTCAAAAGATTCTGGTATAACTCTTCCTTTCTTTGACACTACCAAGTTCTTGCAAACATCGTAAAAAGCATTTTAAATCTTTTTATTAAATTTCTGAAATATTCTTAGTCATTCTTTTTTGCTTCTCGGTAGAAAAACCCACGAAATATGGCACTCTTGGCATTCCAGCTATTCATAGAAATTTATTTATGATGTTAAATCTTTAATTTGTGATATAAGTTACTTCAGACAATTATAGAGGTTAATTTATTAATAAAAATGTAGCATTAAATAAATTTTTTGACATTTACTAATAAATCATTGTAGGAATAGTTTATTTATTTAAAATTAGTAGAAAAAATACTTTTGTTTAAAGAAATTATATATTAAATAAACAATTTAAATTACATCGTTTCTAATATTTTATCAATAGTTTTTCAATTTCACAGAAAAATTTATCCATATTTTTATGATAGAATTTAGTTCAGATCATTCTTGTTATTTCCCTTTACTCATTTGTAATGTTCTATCACAATCGATTCAGCCATTTTGAAGATTAACTCGGACAAATAGACAAAAATTTAAAAACCCTGATTCATGTTTTAATAATATGCTTACTCTTTAAATTCAATAGATAAAAATTATATTAATATTACAGACAGATATTGCAGCATTTGTTTATATGTATAGATTGATGAATTAAATCTGTTAAGATGTTTTTTAAAATATTATCCTGAGTATACGTCAAAACTCAATCTCGTATTATATTAACGATAAAGTTTCCAGCCACGTGAAATTTTCTAAATTTCCATTGAAATTTCATCTTCACACCAAATGATTTATTTTCTGTATATTGACCCAATTATCTTTCGTAAATTCATGCTTTTTGTTTCGTTTATTTTCACGTTAAAAACAGTTTTGACTGTGAATGGCTACTGCAAAAATAAATATAATAAAGCAAATTATATTCTCGACGAATTTTCGGTGACTGAGGCAAGTGAGATAAGGCATTTTTTTACGGGTCAAGAACATTTTGTCTGAATTTCAATGTTCATAAATTCTTTATACTACAAATATTTCAGCCATTGTCATTGTGAATAGCAGCTTCGTCATGAATACTATCGCATTATTCAGCTTAATATTTCAATGTTGACAGTATGTGAAATATATTTTTCTCTCTAAATACACTAATTTTGATTTAAATAAGTCATAAACCTTTTGTCTTATTTTAATTAACAATCACAATTTATTAAAAAAAATTTAAAGAACTTTATATCGTCAAAAAAAATCGTCAATGAGCACTCCAAAGTCAAACCATACTTGTTGTTTAATTAGAAAACAAACCTCGTACTAATTTTAACTGCAATCATCTATTTATTGTTCCATTTTTTTTGAAACAATCATTATACTTTATTTTAAATTATTACTAATTTCAAGTATTTATTCGAGCTTTTTGTGGAAAATATTAACGATGTTTTTTTTTGCTATAAGTTGTCACAACTGGTTACCGAATTATGTTAATTTCATTAATGCTACAAAAAGCTTGATACGAAGTTATCATATCGTTATGTAATCATAAATAATATTACATTAAATTCACTATGAAATTAAGCTAATGTTTATCTCTAGTAATTTCCAAACTAATTGTTACCTAATAGTTTGATGTGGGAGTTTGCTTAGTTACAAATGTGGAATAAAATTTTCTGTGGTTAGTTACAACAGTACTGAACTAATTGTTGTTTCATACTGTGAAATCAAATTGCATTCAAGTAGTACCAATTGTTGTAGGATAATAAATCGTGATTAGCAATAATGACGTTAATATAACAGTTATGTTTTTCATCCACTTATTCTCATTAACATCATTACCGTAATTTTGATGGATAAATATCTTTACACACATTCAAAATTAATTTTTTTTTTGTTACTTTACTTTTTTGCCAGTTGATATTTTTCATTATTTAATCTTGCAAATAGTTCTCTTTTTATTCTTAGTATAAATAAAGCATAAAAGTCAGTTAATCCATCATTTTGTTTAAACAAATAAATTTAATTATTTATAAATATTTTATTACCATTCTTATTGACATTGCTGCTATAACAACATAATAATACTTAGAATATACATAAATTGTGATTAAAACTGAAGTATTTCTTGTCAAGATGAACGAGAATGGAAGATAAACCTTCATTATTATGTGCTTCATTTCCGTAAGTAGTAAGAGTCAATGTCCATGCAGCCAGTGACAAGCCATGCTGCATACACGTGCCTTGAGACATTGTGTAAACATCGTTGATGTGTATAATAGCATATATACTATGTAGTTCACATAAAATCGACGTTATTTTGAGAATAACCTATATAGAAACCCTTCTTACGGCATAAAGTCAATATCTATTCGTATATATGTATATTATTTCCACCTTATTTGTGGTATAGACTTTTATAGTTATTTTTGGTCTGTACAGTTATGAATAAAATTTTCCTATATTAATGGTTAAATCAAATGGAAAAGATCAAAGATGATCAATTTGTCTGTTCAATTTATTTTATATTTTATATCTTATTAATTAAGATATTACAAAAATAAAGGATCACCGATTTGTGGAAGAGATTGTATTTAGTTGACTTTCAATATCTATTATGAAATTCTGTATCATTTATTGTCAAGTATTTTCTGTATTTTTTTTTTTATAATAACTGAAGAAAAATATCCTGAAACAATGTTTTCTAAAGTTTTTCCTCTCACACAATTTTTTGTTTTTTATGTAAATGGTGTATTTCGTATGTAGGTATTTCTAGTGAAAAAAAAAAATTTTATCACTGCTTTAATACACATGCCTCTATAAGCAGAAGACTTTGAAAATTGTAGCTAAAACTCAAACGTAGAGATGAGGTTGCAAAAAACAGGATACAAACTGTAACATACGTAGAAGAAATATATTATAAAGTCAGGGACTTAGTTATATATACATGTGGTACGTAAATGGTTACGCTCCATACGTTATCCGTAATCTCATATGTACCTTACAATAAGCTGTTACATGTCAAGATATATTTACTTATGCACATACACGTATAGGTTGTTCATATGTTTATGTATTTTATATAAAAATAATACGTATATGATGCTACATCTTTGTGTTTTATTTTTTTTTTGGTAAATACTACATCTTGTGAGCAGACGACAAGCTCTTTCTTTTTCGAGTTATTTATTAAAAAAATATATATGCATATAAACGAAGAGCAGCAAACGTACTTTTGCGCGCTGTTTTAACTTCAAACGTCAAAAGTGCGTGAAAATTGCATAAAAATTTTCATATTTTTTTACACGATATGAAGTAGTTTAATTCATGATTTATCCATGGAGAAAAATATTTTATCTTGACTCTATATTTGTTATAAAAAATTACTAAATTCCATTTTAATTTTAATTTTCAGTGTGTCGAGTATTATATTGGGATAAAATGCAATTTACAATTCAAACTTATGGTAAATTAGTATTCACAACATAATTGTTAATGAGAAATTACCCTTTTAATAATCAAAGGAATTTGTATTTAAGTTGTGATAGTATATCTAAACTGTAATACATTTTATTATAAATGAATTTATCTGTATAATTCATGACATAGTTACAAGATAAACGTTTACATAGAATGTTTTGGTTTCATGCGGATACTTTTGTGAATACAATTTACTTTGATTGGAGAGTTTGAAATTGAAAATTTATCTCTCAATATGATACATTCACTTATTTATGTTTATCACCATTAACCTTATTACAACAAATTTAAATCCACAATCATTGCTTAATCTAAATGAAATACTATTCCTATTTTCGCCATGTGAAATAGAATTTCTAAATTTTAAAAACCATTTAATTTGAAAGTTTAACATTAATTTTTTTTTATCACAAATAAATCAAATCATTTTTTCGTCATTACGTAATCTATTTTAAATCAAAGTATGTGGGTTTAAATTTTATATAAAATCCTACCCGCGTTTGCTCTTAAGATAAAATTGTTCAAAGCCTGCATAAGATTATAGGATTAATTGATATCAGTAGATGACAGGACCGACGGTGAAATCGATTGATAAAATATTACAAATGATTTTAGAGGTAAAAGAGTTTTTTTTTCACCAAAAACCCCCTTTGATTAATTCCCATTAATCACCTACTATTTTTCATTTCAAAAGACATATTGATACGTTCATGTCTCTCCCTCCACACATACTCGCAACATGCATGTGTACATGTCTACATATATTTATATATAATCGTAGTATTTATGTATAAATTATATCTAACTCACAACAATATGATCATTCGGTTGAGTTTATCGACTTCCGTAATATCTGCGAGTACATGACTGGAGTAAACAATAAGCCCACTCAATGCGTTACATAGGCGATGGGTTTGTCTCTTGTGTGCATTAGCGTATCTACAGCCTAATTCCATCGTTGTCTGTTCTGTATCCCATGGGTGCAGTTTAATACACATGCCTCGAATGTTTAATCAACATATATAGAATTCATCAATTTTAATCATATTTCTCACCCTTTTTTATTTTTTATCAAACACTAAAATTGTTTTTTTTTCTGTTGCAGATCGCTGGCGTATAAGCCCGTTCATCGCAGTGAAAACAAAAACAACGAAGAGGGTATAACGAGACACCCAGAAGACTAAAAATAAAAAAAAAAAACTCACGATAAAAACTCAAATTGTTGAAAAAGCCAAGTGAATACAAAATCTCTCAACTGTAGTCTTATTGTGGTACATTTTCTTCGTCCCTGTTTTTCGTTCTTTACGTTTACAATCCCAACCAGTGAATGTCTTTTCGTTTAATTCTTTCGTCAATTTCTTTTTACAATTCCCCATACAAAACAGTATATCTACAATATTTCTTCAATTCTCCGTATGACCGGTGATTTTTGACACAACAGCGCAACTCTTGACGCGCACGTTTCATGGCGCAAACACGAATCTCTAGCATGGCCTAAAACTTCACTTGTCATCGTCTTGCGATCGTCTTCAATTCCCTTTTACGGTTTATTCTCCGTTGCCAACTTGAGATTTGTTTTTTTTTTAATTATACGGTGTGAAAGTGTATCGTGTGAAACTTAGAGGATTAATTAGTGACATAAAGTGCTTATAAGTGACAAATAAAAAAAAGTGCAAAAATATAACGACAATCGTATAGAGTGAAGGAGACATGCACCCGCGCCGGACGGATGTTGCTGCGAGCGACCTCTTGACCGTCGCGACGGCCACGCTCGTCGAGTGAAAGAACCGGAACCCACGCGCGTACCCATTATCAGAGGCACGCGTGATTGTGCGTTGTGCTTGCACACGCGCATTTGACCATCTTTCCCCTTTCCCCCATTACTTTATCATTTATTTCCTTCCGCTTTTCTCTTTATCCTTCCCTCTCTTGGACCCCTCTCCAATCCATTCCTTTTAGAGCACGCGAGTGCGTGCGACGCATACTCAAACCTAACCTCTCGTAATTCGCGTCCTACGGGCACGTGACTACTGGTCGCAATGCGGCCGGCCGTCGTGCAACTTTTGCTCTCATGGTGGGCTGTTGCCATGCTTGGCTTTGCTATTGCCGCGTGGCAGGAAAACATCAGGCCGAAGATGTATGTGCAGCTTGGTAAGTGTACATATTTTATTATGCATTGAATTTCTAGTATACTTTGTTTTCGTTGGGAATTGTGGTTATATGAAAAATGATGTAAGTTTTATAAATAGAGATAAATAAAGTAAGGTAAAATAGTTAAATGAACAAACAAGTGTAGATAAAAAATGTTACTGAAAGACAAAAAATGATGATGCTATTAAATAGAACCCGATTATCCTTCTTAACCTTTGTTATACTGACTTGCAACCCGTCATGGATACAAATGACCTGAGAATAAAAGACCAAGTGTCTCGCACGTGACATTCACCCTTGTGAATGTATACCTGTGCAATTATTATACATCATCACCTCGTTACGACGTAACTTCAGTGGCATATTGTCTACACCTGACACTACTATAAACATTAAGCGGTATTATTACGGATATGAATAAATGGAGTTAAATAGTTTTAACATTGTTTATCTAATACATCTTTGTTCTTTATGTTGGTTGGGTTATATCAGACTTAATTACAGTTCTTAATTCGTAAAGTTCAAATAATTATTAAATCGTGCGGAAATTCATTTTATTGAATAAATAATCGATAACGAGCCATTTCCATTAAGCAATAAAAGGCATCGATCGTAAGCTCCAATATGTATATATATGTATACGTATTTGGTACATACTTATACATAGCTGTGATCAAGTACTTTTTTCATTAAACACAAAAGCTTCGTAAATATAGAAAGAAAGTTCGAGTTAAATTTTTATTAAGAACTAATGAAAGGTGGCTTGCTTTGTCGAATGTTTAAGCTGGTTTTTCCTTTTTAAATAATAAATTATGTTTGGAAATAACATGATTCTGCTCTCGGCTGTGAAAGGCAAAAATTTATTATTGAAGAAGTATTTTTTTTTTATTTGACATTGAACCACAATCAAAACATTTCTTCGAATAAAATGGTAGTTTTAGTAAATTAAAAATATAAACAAAAACGATGGATTTTAATAATACCTAAGTATTAATCAATATTAAATATAAGTCATGAAGAATTTTTTAAACCCAAGATTGAAATTTCGTTTTTAAAAATAAACTGAAATATTTTTTATTTTGTCAAGTCAATCAATGTTTTCTTAGGTAATTTTTCAACTTTACCATCTAAATGATGCATCAAGTGATGTAGATGATGAGTTTACGGCAAGATAGAAAATTCCTGTCAGTTTTTATTCTCAAGTGTATTATTATATGCATTAATTTTTCTTAAACCTTATGAACGTAAGTGATATCAGGAAATTGAATTTAAAAAAATTAAAAAAATAGTGTCTCTATATCTCAGTAGCATTTTCTCTCTTGTGTGCACATGAAGCTTTTTATGCGTTGCCAAGGGTGTACTTGAAACAGATCGAGTGGCTGCCTTTTATCGTTGACAGGGTTGACACGTCTTTTTTTGTCACTAGAAAAAATTGTTTGCCAGTTGATGGTTATACTTTTTTGAAAGAAAAAACAGCTTACACACTGATGTATATTTAGGTTGTAAAGTAATATATATATATATATATATATCATGATGAAAGCTCAAGTAATACAATAGCAAAAGCTTCAAAAATGTGTAAAGGATTAGTGTTTCACTTAAGACATTCGTAATGTATTAAATTACGATTGAAATGGATATCTTTACTAAATCAGGATAGATGAAGACTTTAAATTATATTTGTATTATCTTTCTACAAATTTTCACAGCTCAGGTTATTATTTTGATTTGATTTACATTGTGGAAGACCGTATAATTTAACAAAATAACTAAATAAATGTAGAGTTCTTTGTTATAGTTTTGATGAATGAATTTTTGACAGTTATTATAATACCTTGCATATTTGTTGAATGGTCTAGACACATTTTATCATATGATGTACCGAGTTATGAATATTAATCATTAAAACTTTACAATAAAGCCTATGGATTATAATTTGAAATTTTACTCTATATGTTATAACAAAATAATTATATTTTTTACGATTAAAATAAATATTTAATATTATAATTCCACATTATGATTAATTATCTTGATTTTTCTTATTAGTTTAAAATTATTTATTCTAAGGATAACAAAAATAATATTATTAAAAGTTTTTTTATTTAATTTTATAAAAAGATTTGGTAGATTTTTCTTCAAAAATAGCTTTTTAAATTAGTTTAAATGTAAAAAACAATTCAAGAGAAAAGATTTAAGAAAATGACCAATTGAAAATTCCACCCTTCATCCAAGACACGGAGTAAATTTTCACATGAGTGATTTGACGAGTGTTTCGTCCTAAAAAAGAGCCACGTGGCAATTGTTTCAATTTGTAAAATGATATTTATCTCAGAGGCAAATGCAAACGAGACAGGAAAATACCCTAATACCTTCATAGTCTAGACCGTTAATTCTCGACGTCATCTTCTCAATCCAAGTCCAACCACGTAGCTGATCCTTTTTGTGAAATTGTTCGTATCGAAATTGGTTTATTGCGAAAAGAAATATATGAATAATTCAAGTTTAGTCAGTCTTAGATAGTGAAACAATTTTAGGAACTAAACCCCAGTGCAAGTATTACATGTATTTGTGTGATCAAACGAGGCAAGGGAAAAGCAAAGTAACCAAACAAAACGGACTTTGAATTTTAATTTTATTTATTTTAAATAGTATGTAGGGTTATTAAAGAGTTAGAAACATATGATTGTTATGTTTTTCTTGGTGAAATTTTATCCACGTGGAGACAAGTCGATATAGAAAAAAATAATGGCGGAACGCGCTTGCGCTCAATTCGTCTCGAGCTTTTCTTCTCTTAGGTTATCGCTCTCTCGGTGAAGTTAACAATGAACGTGTCTTTTCATCCTCTTACTTTTCATCTGGCTTCATCACAACCTGTCCACGCCCTTTTATTTCTCATGTTCTTACTTTCTCCCTTGCCTTTCTTTCTTGATCTACTGTAAAGTTTGAGACGATGCAATCCCAGTCTAATCGACCGTGTGCTACCGAGCGTAGCTAAGGATCGATACAAATCCGTCGTCGTCGTTGTCTTTTGCTGATGTTACGTCTTTTAAACCTATTTTTTTCCATCATTTCGCACTGTTTTTATCCTTACTTATCTCTTTACTTATAGACATTTTTTTTTCTCAACTCCTTTACTTGGCCTTTTTTTATATCTTCAAGTGCTTTCCATGATGGTAAAAAACTTCTCATTGCAAAATGTGTCTATATCTGTAAGTACTCAACTCGATCCACCACTTTAACCTCTAGAAAACACTTTTAGATCCTGTGAATTCGTCGATTACGTTGTCAATGTAAACGTCGTCTCATTGATCAAGTTTTTTTCCTCACGTATTTTCAATCTACTTCTCTTCATGGCTGTAAGGCTCTTATCCTTTCACTCAATCATCATTTTACACTTCCGTCATTGACGTCTATCGCGTGAATCATTTATTTTTCCACCAATCACACATAGTGAATGTCTCGTTTCTCAAATTTGATTTTTTTTACCATACTTCTTTGTCATTTTTCTTTGACGTGAAAATACATGAAAGAAAAATGAAGGAGAATGGAAAGATAGAGAATCGTAGTTACGCCGACATGACGCCAAGGAACGTGAAACGTAAGAGACATCACCAGACATACGATGAGTTAGATAGAGTGAGAAGGTTATCTTTGGCATTGTCCTATTGTCCGGGATAAAAGTGTTCGTCCTTCGTTTTTCCGATATGTCGTAAAAAAGAAGAAGAAAATGAAAGAAAAAAACAACTTAAATAATATCATAGAAAAGTATAAAGTAAAAAAATTATAAGAAAATCTTCAAGCAAGATAAGTAATGCCAGCAGCTTGAATTATTATTATTATTTTTTTTTATTGTTTTCTTTTGCTTTCTTAACCTCATCTTTTTAGATTTCTTTATTTTTTTAAACTCTCCAACTTGCTCCAAATGTGAAAAGCTCTTCTCGCCAATTCTCATCGCGTTCATAACCACAAAACGTATATATATTGTATGGGTGTATTGTGCTTGAGATATCGACTCCGATATAGACGGATATAAAATAGAAGAGAAATATAAGAGAACTAGCCAAAGAAGACACTCCAAACCCAACTTCATTCAGCTTAGTAGACTTTTTTTATCCTTTTTCTTTCAATCATCAATTTTTTTTTTCCTCTAGTTCGTGCAATTTATATATTTCTCTCTTCTATTTTATACTCAATAGTCATTGAATACTCACAACGCATTACTGATATGGGATCCCAAAGATGTGTAAAGTATTGAAAAGTTTTGGTATTGTTTGAGATACTAAGTAGATCAGTAGTTGCAAAAAATTAAGAACTGATAAATACTTAAGGTATTATCTCCAATAATATCATCTTATTGATAGAAAAAAAAACAAATCTTTAAGTAGAATAAGTAAGCAGTTTAACATCAATTACAATTTTTATTTTCAATATTTAAATTTAATAACTAAAGAAATCTTACTTTTTAAAACTATTTCTTGAATTTATTTAATTTTTCATCAAAAAAGGGTTTACAAAATGTTGCAATATTTTTACCATGTTATAAAAACACTAGCGATTTAAAATGTATTAAAAAATATTTGTATTTGTTAGAAGTATTAAGAAGATTTCTGAAGATAAAGTTTGTTATTATAGAAAGACTAAAAGATCTCTTTTTTTATTCATCCTTTATTGTACTAAAAGGATATTCACATCCACTTTTGACATGAAATTTTATACTACATTTTTGAATCTAGATAATAATATAACGAGTTTATTTTTATACTATATCCATATGCATTTTGTTTTATATTTAGCTATAAAATGGTGTAATAAATTTTTTAATAAATGTGAATTTTTATAAGATAGTATCTTCCAATGTAATTGAAAAAAGAATATAGTTTGAGTAAATAAATAATTTCTCCATAAAGAAAATGTTCGTGGTAAAATTTCTACAAAATAAAGGTAACTGAAGTATAACTCAATTCTTTGATATTGAGGTATATACAATATTGTATTGA